CAGTTTAAGGCTCGACATTGTGTTGTCTACGATTAGACAGCTGATAACTCATTCCCGTACGTCGTATGGTCGTAACACTATAATGACCTTTGCTTATTGTCACAAGTGCGCCGCATTCGCGATTGTTGCCCGACGCCTGTTTGCAGGTGAGCCCACTACAGTTGTTATACATATCTAAAAACCGAAAAACTTTTAGGCGAAAAAGGCACTATTCCAGGCCCATTTTTGATTTTTTTTTGCGATATTCGGTAAAAACAGAAGCTTCTTATCCTAGGAAAAATAAAATGGGAAATCTTTCAAAGGTGGCACACTACCTTTAAAGTAACTACTTAAATTGTATGCCAATTTTTCTTTCACAACGTTTTAAGCGAATGTAATTACCTTTAATTTGGCGCATTGCTGTCGAAGAAGATTTGGGAACAAGTGCACTAGTATAAAAAGGACGATTTTCACCCAATTACGCCAATGTCATCAGGTACTGCTACGTTAAGTACGTACGTTAAAACGAGCACAGATGATAGGACAATGCTGATCAAATGTAATGATAAATCATATCAACGGTAAGTACGGCAAGGGAACGGAAATGGCTAATTTGTTTCGTGCATGATACCGTGCATATCGTCATTGTGCAATGGTCGTGTGAAAGGTGTCACGCCCATGATCAGTGACTTGTTCCGGATACGGACAGAAGTCTCGTTATGAGCGGATGCGGATGACTGTAGGATGGTCCGGGTAAATTTCGCTGACGCTTGATCACTTTAGCTATAGATATCAGTTGGATGTTTGATCTTTTGCCGTTGAGATGATTAACTAAGTGGATTTTAACGATGGCAAAACGGGCAGCAGCTTTCTGCACTGACTTCTTTTGATCTAAGCTTTGAGCAATTAGCGCTTAAAGCTGCTTCATTGTAAGGGTAAGTATCTAATGCGCACTGTTGTATTTTTCGAGCAGTTGCTGAACCCTAGGAAGATGCTATTAAATCATCCTCGCAGGACCACTGGTGCGCGTAGACCAATATTTCCGGGGTTTTCAATGAGCATTATCATAATTGACTTTGCGCTGCTAGCAGACGATGTCAACAGAGAAAAATGCAGCAAAATCCTTCCGTTGGTTTATTATTTTTGCGTAGAATATACTAAATACTCAATCCATTAATTTTTATGTCATTCTAACTATTTACTATTGCTCCTCGGATATCGGAAATCTTACACAATTCTCATGACTTTAAACGAAAAAGCTGAGCAAAGTCTAAGCTCACGGTACATATAATCTGACCGATTATGTCATCATTTGTCCGTTCCGATATTACACGGAGCGCTGGCCTTGGCAGGCCCTTCTCTTCCAGTTTTCGACTTTGATCCCTACCATGATGAAATGAGAAGCGACGAACGAATAGCAGCAGAAAGAAGGGAGAGGAGTGCACTGCTGTAGTTGCAGTCTGTATACAAGAAGCTGCTGATCAGAGCTCGAAGGACCGCTGAGGCGACCTTACTGACCACTCCGACGGCCCTGCTGACCGCTGTTACGATCCTCTGGCCGTTAGGTTGGTCTAGCTTGACCGCTGAGCTGACCCAAAGGGCGGCTGAGCTGACCTGACTGACCACTCTGGGGTGACCTCGAAGGAGCGATACAGACCACTCTCTTTTGTCCGCCCAGTTGCTGTGAATCTCTACCTGGGCGACTTCGTACCTTTTTGCTATAAATTATTTGCACGATAGTCTATGATGTTATTAGAACTACGCCAATTACTTTGAGCACTTCTAATAGCCAATCTCTTTTTGGATATAGATTATAACGACTTGTGACATCAAACATTTCAATAGGACCTCTTGCATTATACTAAACCACTGAGACTATACATTTTTACATAATAGCCTGCAAGGCGACTCTTTCATTCAAAGACCAGTTTTAAAACGTTGCATAATGACGCCATATATTGCGCACACTAATCTGCGTGTCTGCATGAACCGTAATATACAGTTCGGTATGCGTGTGTTTTAATTGGTGAGGCGCGCACAACCTTGTCCAGGCGTGAGGAAATGCCAGTTAGCTTAGCGGCAGATAGCGGGATGGTGCTGCCGCGCGAGGGTCAGCTGATCGCAGATGTGCATCACGGAGCGGGGCTTTTCCACGCAGAAACAGGTCATGTTATGTCCGCCCGCTACGTCCGGCACGAAGATAATTTCAGCTCATGGCACGACGACAAATACAGGTTTTTATCCGTGTGTTTAATTCATAGCAGCGCGATAGCTGTTGCCGTGCATGCTAGAGCACTTCACGGATAGGCTTTTTAGGATCCGGCCCGGCCCATATCCGGCAAGTCATATCCAGATCCGCCCATTATCCGCCTTTCTTTGAATATCAGAATCCGGCCCACCCATGGCCCGTATTGCAGCCAAACTTCCAAAACATATCCGTAATAATCCGTTTCACCAATAACTGGTTTCACCAAAACTGGACTAACAAATTCAATCTAAGGGACCAGACAGCCATACATCTCACAGACCATCATGGTTCCAAAAACCATGCTTATAAACCTAAAACCACATGAAAATCACCACATTGGTAAACTAGGTATCAATTTTTAACTTCAATGTTAAATGTTAAAATTTTGATCCGTTTTGATCCGGGTTCAACCTTCAATTCCCAAATCCGGCCCGCCCATATCCGTTCTTTTTACAAATTTAGAATCCAATCCTATCCGGTCCGCGGATTTATCCGTGGATAACGGATTTATCCGGCCCATGAAGTGCTCTAGTGCATGCTGCAGGGAAAGCCCGGTTCGGAAAAAACGCACACCAAGAATAGTTAAATTCCAAAAGGGACTCAAAATAATCCTGCAGTTACTGTCGTCGCACCCTAATGACTCAACAAACAAAAGATCGTTAAGTGGATCCATTGGGTGGCATAGAAACGAGACGTATCATTCTAGCCTACCATGCAAGCATTGGAGTGTCAATAGCCGTTTTCACGACGGCCATCTGGTACACATTTGGTGCACATCTGGTACAGATTAGGTGCAGACTTGATCAAATCAGGTTCAGTGTGTCTCTTAGCAGCTATCAGCTAGGGTTGCACTAACCGCTTATATGCCTGCTTTGTCATATTATCAGAGAGCATCATCAATTAAAACACTGAAATGAATTCATAAAATGAAGATATTGCTGTAAAAGAAATTAGGTGCAGATTTGGTCAAATTAGGTGCATTCGCCGGATAGCCCGTCGTGAAAACGGCTAATGTGAATAATGCCACACTGTTTTAAGTTAAACATTCGAAGCAAGTACACTTTTTTGGAAGTATTCTACTCTACAGCACATTTCCCACCCTTATCATTAGTTGTCCACCATCAGCTAGCTTTATCTCACCCCGCCCATGTGTTTAGGGCGCGACTAATCAACAACTCTCGCAATTACGTTGACACTGACGTTCAAAAGCCATTTTATTGGGCAACAGGTTCTTGACAGTTCGGTGGTTACCATTGCAACATTTATGCTTTACCTATAAACCTAAATGCCAAACACCGCTGTGTCTGTCAGGAGGATCTTAGCGTGTCATCGAGCATTAAAGCCCCACAGATCCTATATGCAGGCGCCGGCGAAGGCAATCGTGTCTGAGAGTCAAGAGGTTCCTGAACGAAATTGGCTTCAATCAGGAAGCAGCAAGAATGGAGAAGTAAAGAGCTTATGAAAATGTGCGGGCGATCGATGCTGGAAAATATCTAAAGAGGAACTGCTGCAAAGGTCAGGCTCTTTAGTCTTAACCTTCGCTGGCAATACTGGTTTTCTACATATACGCTCTGGCCGGGAGGGACATGTCGTGCTCGTATATGTACTTACCGCCTTAGAGTTTTGCCCCAAATCAGGCTATGAGCTTTACCAGCTTAAAAAAAATGTCCATGTTGACCGTCATAAGACCCAGCTCATGCTGTCTGGGTAAAAAATTGAAACCCAATTCAATTAAAAACTCAAGTGAACTTACATATGTTTAACACAATAAAGCCCAATTTTATTTTACCCAAGGAGGTAAGACTTAGGTGAAAACAGTACCCAATTTTAATGTAGGTACAATTATGATGGGGTAGGACAACTAACCGCTGACCTTTCAGGTCAGTTAAACGACTCAGAGTCGCGCGTTCCGGCTTTGGTAAATAGCATCGGCAAAAGTGGAAATACCGGAAATACCTATATAGCAACGATTTCGATAACGTCACGTTTGTCAGCTCCGTCGCACTGAATGATACTGACTGAAAAGTCCAACTTGAGCGCTAACCTCAGGTCAACGTCAGATCAAAGCCAGTCGTAACGTCTGGAAGCTATGTCAAGGGAGACATCGTTGCATATAGCTCCATTGGTAGTGCATCCTGAGTTAATTAGTATGTTTTCCGCCTCACTCACTCGGTTACATGCACTTTTAAATTAGCGCACTTTTGTCGGCTGTATTGATGTGCCCACGTAAGTACAAGTTTATTTTATTCAAGATGCAATTGCGGTAAATAGTTTGCTGTGCAAAGAAACTAGATATTTGGGTGCTTATATAATTCAATATTATTAATTGTATTAATAACCTTTATCAAATATTAATTAAGAGTGTTCATCAAGAGTGTTTTATATAAACAATTCAAAACACACAAAAATATAATGAAAAATCAAAATAAACAAAAATTACTTACAAAAATGTTTTATATGCGGTGGCTAGCAAAATAGAATACGCTGGCTCGAACTGATCTCGCATGTTGCACCCAAAAATGACGCGAATCCCCGATACCTACACATCCGTTGACCACTCCACTTTCGTCACTCTCGAATTTGGAGCAGATTACCGCCGGATCCGCGTGTGAGATTCATTTCATGGTGTCACTGACTCCACACGGCAACACGCCAAAGTCACTCCACGGGTCAACACGAAATAGCAAATTTGGATGGGGCGGGCGCAGCGAGTGCGCATGCGCGCTGTCCGTGGCGGTGAACGGGTGAAGAGGAGGCGGGCCGACCGGCCGGCGTGGTGCAGTGTGGAAGGAGAGCGGGCAGTGTCAGCAGCTGCCAGCAGCGGGCGGAGAGTCAGGTGAGTCCCAGTCAGTCCTTCCCGCAGCCGGCGGACCGGGTACTGCGGCACAGTCTACCAGTGCAGTCCTCCGCCGGACGCGCAGACACTGCAGAGAACACGCTGCACAGTAGAGGTGGCAAAAGGTGGACCCGAGGACCCGGTCCAAAGAACCAGTCTGGACCCATATGGGTCCAGACCGGTTCCTGGAAATTTTCTGATGGGTCCAACCGGGTCCTACCATAAACTATACATCTTGCACACTACACATTATTGCAAAATATGAAGTGAATGAAGTGAATGTTTCTTTGCACACAGTAGCTCATGAGTATTCCCAGTGAGAAATTATAGTCTGTTTTACATGATGCAACTAATGATATCTACAATTAGTTTGTATTAATTGACTTTTGGGGAACGGGTCCAACTGGTTCCGGTTTCAACTAAGACCGAGTCCGACTGGTTCCAGAAATGTCCAGCCGGGTCTGGTTCGAGTCTGGTTCCCAAAATTTTCATCTTTTGCCACCTCTACTGCACAGCTGAGAAGGACCGGCTAGGACTGTTGAGCAGAGGGTGTTCTAATGCTGACCCAATCGAGGTAGGGCCGTAAAATGACTTGTATCGTGAGCGTATCTAACGCAATTTGTGGTGTAACCGCTGCCCGTTATCGTATTTGTCTCTTGCTCCAAACATGTGATTTTCTCACATAGAAGAATTTCCGGTTAAATGGGTTATGGGAAATCGCACAACCTAAATTCCTTCAGCACACACCTGTCAATCAAAACTCACCAGAAGTCCCCAATACCTAAGATGTGACATCACTGGCTACTTTCACTCTAATGTAGGCTAATTTCCACCGCACAACAAACCAGAGACAGAAGCAGAGACAGAGGCGACCTTATGCGGCGGATTAGGTCATACCAGTTACACGACTGGCGGTGTCTGGTGCCATAGGCGCCGACCGTTTTCTCTCCCGACTCTCTTCACTCTAGCTGGCTCTACGGGCTCCGCTACTATACCCACTGGCTGAGACGGCCAACCCAGCGTACCGGCCCGGCCGCGAACGGGAGAGTGGCTTTCCCACGCGCCAGGGAAAGGGAAATTAATCGTGGTTGAGCTGGATATCTCCAAAAGGGCTTGTTTCGGGGTGGGGGACGGAGAGAAGGATGTCTTGTAACAAGTGAAGTAACTCCTGGTTGGAAAAAAGGACTCGTTTCAGCTACGCGTATAAAAATGATATGGGACCTAGCAACCTAGCAAATGATTCCAGACGATTTTTCAAGGGTGTGAGATTCTGAAACGAAACAAGAGAAAGTAACTATGTCACCCTCCAGTTGCCCATCATTTTGAACAGTGTTGAAACTGGTAATATCACCGTTATAGGTTTGATTGTCTGAGTAATGACAACAGGCATTTTGTGCTGAATTATGCACCAAGAATGCAGGCGTTTATTGTCATCCGTACGTCAATACGGCCGGCCGGCATGGCTTTGTTTTCTCAACTCAGCGGACAGGCTGGAACCGCAGTGCAGAGCGACCAAGGCCAGCTGGATGCTAGCGGGAAGCCATGTCGGGTGGAGGCAAAGAAAAACTGGCTCAAGCTGAAGTAGGGATAGACCAAATACAAGGGCATTAATCGTAAAGCAAGTCTATTCTCAAGAAAATGTATTTTCCAACGTAGGCGTGATTTAAGTGTTTGCTAAAAATAAAATAATTTCACCAGGCAGGCACACTTTCCAAAGGCTATATGCACACGCTTGGTGAACACTGAGCTCAGGGCTGTTATGTTTCTGTTTCCGAGCATATCGGCGCAATTTTCAGAGTGCTGGGTCCAGCGAAATAAAAAACAATTCGACTTTGGACAAAACTATTTTTTACGTGCATGCTAGTGTGTTGAAAGAACAATTATAATTATGGCCTGAAACGCACAATCTGCCCCATCTCAAAGGCTTCTAACTGAACTGTCCCAGAGCACAGTTTGCATAAAACGGACTAAAGGGGTAAACCTTTCCTCTCCGTCCAGAAATGTCTCTGAGTTACAATTGGTATCAATTACTTCTTGCATTAACGCAAGAAGTAGTCCAAAGAAGAGGTCAATAGTTAAAGCAATCGAACCAGAAAGAAAATGAATGTTTTGGATTGAACGCGTATTCTATAACTTCTTACTTTGATAGTAATAATTTAGAACGAACTCATGCTGTTAACTACCATACGTCCTGTAAACCTGTAGATATTATGGTGGTCCCACATCTAATTTTGGCGTATCATCCTTGAAATGCTGTGCTTGTCGTTTCTCTGTTGCAATGGATGATCAGCAGCATGCAACCAATTATCTATTTGAAGCGTAAATAAGCAGCCGAGATCACGTAATTGGTTAGGAGAATGCAAGTTGCATGCATTGTGCGTGTGCCGCCGTTTTTGTCTGGAACTATAGCAGGAGCCTTGTGCACGCTCCAAAGAGAGCGGCGCCGGGGGGCAGACGCATGTCCTTCACCCGCTGACAGGTGCGTGTGTGATCGGGAAACGTCTGTCAGAAATTGAGTGAAAAGGCTACACGGCTCTTAGGGTAGCATGTTTTTAAGCTTTGTGAGAGACGAGGCGCAAGACGGTATCCATATTGCAAAGTGGAAATAGCGCTATTCTGCATGTTGGTGTTAATTACGCATTCTTCATACCTATAACTTAAAGGAGAGGACCACTAGCTCGCTGCAAAATGAAATGAAAAGGCAAGGCATCACTGCAGAGACTTGTTACACAATGCTCGGTGCCCAGCGCTTTTTTGACTGGATATCAGCACCAAACAATCGCAAATAACGCTTTTGTGCAGGTGTGACCGCTAAAGCTGAGCATCGCCTTCAATTGTGTGGGCCGCCGAGCTTATGTAACCAAACATCCGGTGGTATTCCCGTGTTTGCCGAGACGTTCGTGGCACTCTCCGCCATGTTGGCTGTTTTTGGAGGCGTGCTGCGCGACGCAGAGCAGTCGAGCATTTTCTTTCGGTGCTTGCGTGCCTCAGTTTCTACAGCGCTGCTCTCCCGGTATCACTCAGTTCGTGCATTGCTCAACCCGCACTGTGATAATGAGCGGCTCCCATCCACAAAGGGAGCGCCGCAATTTAGGGGGCTTTATAAAAGGGTTGCATCCTGAACGGGATGATCTAATCACTACCGCGAAGAAAATGCTGCGTAAGGAACAGTTCAACAGCATCATGTATTTCTTGACCACTCACAGCCAGCATCTTATTTGGATTGCTGACATTATGATGCATCCGGAGTAGTAAGAAACATGGGAAGGAACATTCAGTAGAATGTCAAACATGCCTAGAGAGTATCGTGAAAGAACCGCATCTATTTATCAAAGGGGGACTGACTGATCCGTGTCACGCCACTGCCAAAGATGTAGGGGAGACCCGGGAGGTATGGGCCGGTTTTGTTAAAAGGCAATTTTCTTCCAGTGGGCAGTGACTAGACCCAGTTTTTCACCCTGTGTAGGTGCAATTGCCTTTCGCCTGCAACTTGTGCCTGATATTAGGCATCTGGGATCAACTATTTTGTCTCCAGATAACTTTCAATAAATCATGTGCTTTTTCGATCCATCAAAATGCACCGGGAGGTATGGGCCATGGCCCGGGAGGTATGGGCCGGTGCCATGTTTCATATTCTTTTCTCGACAATGAGAATAATACTCGTAGCTGGTATCTACCTTGATCTCTCTTAGAGCCCAGGAACCGCATAAGCGGCCAACAGCTTACTTCATGGAGGTCACTTGGGCCCATATGTATATTGGTGAACTCAATCATGCACCAGGAAACAAAATAAATAATATTTTTCTGTTCGAATGAAATTTGAAGTTAAATTTTCGACCTTGTGCGACAAAAATAAAACTTATTGACGGGGACATTCAATGAAAGCATCTTTTTATTTATTTAGGATCCACGGGGGTGGGTGGCCCGAACCTCCCGGTTAGGACGCCAGAATGTGCGTAGCATCTCAGCTCATAATCTTACAAGAAAGCTTCAAGTTGTCTATCCAGTCTTAATTTGCATGCTTTAAACTTTATGTTAGCGATGGTCTGACATCATAAAACGAGCCTGGTTCAAATTTATCACGAATTTTCTGTATTTACCGTATTTTACTCGAAGAGGGCAAAAACGCTTTATCGCCGCTCATTGCCAAAGAAGACTGAGGAAGATTTTGAAAATCACTTGGGTTGTATAACGGAATGGCTGCTGCCAGTTAACGCTGTCAAATGTGTAAAAATACGCAACACTTCTTCAAAACTGCGATGGCCCATACCTCCAGGGGGCCCATACCTCCCGGGTCTCCCCTATGTAAGTCCCCAGCAGCCGATCCTGACCACCGTGTTCTCGGCCAATGTCCAGCACCGTGTGACACACATATAGGCCAGCTGTTGCCAGCTGATAATAACGACATTGGTGGATGAACACAACCTGGCCTTCAGCGATCGGACGGTAGGAGTCGGGGCCTGCGTGACAAGCTCTGCTTAGCGTGGGCTCCGGCTCTGTCACTCCGTCCACTCTAACAATCGAGCTGAATTAAAATAGATAAAAGCTGGCTGCTGAGCTGGATAGTATACGTGGAATCCTATGCATGCTTTATCTTGAGTGATGCACGCTAGACTCGACACCTTTTTATTCAAATGATGGAAACATAGATGAAAATAGAGACACCCGTCGGAGCAGAAGGCTGAAAGGAAAAATGACGCAACGACCGTTGCATCATTCATATAACTCATTATGTTAAGGGCGTACGATAGACCTTGACCGACAAAACTGCGATTGGTTACATGTGATAGTGTCCGCACAGGCATATATATTCCTGTTTTGTGTGCTAATGCCAAAGGAAAATTGTCAGGGGTGAAGAGTACACACGATTAGGTATTCCGAATCGTATTTGCATTTCATTGACACGTTCTCAATGATAAGCATTTTGGCACAGACCCAAAATTGTATTTCGATCCAGGCGGTTGATAGCCTCTTGCCTGTATCGTTTTACACCTGTATTGTGCACGGTACCATGTAAGTTTGCTGTGCTATCAGATTAAGAAAAAAAGTGGAGACTGGAGCCGTTAAAATATTCCCGGACAGTTCCAGTCCATTCAAAAGAACATACGGTTGCTACTTGCTAATGTTCTGTTTAGACCTGACAAAACTAATCGTTATATGTATAGGACGCAGCAAAACACAGTCAAGTTTTGTTACAATATCACTCCTTATCCAATGTCTTGACTCTTTCGGTCACACACAATTAGTAACCCTCGCACCGACGGGGGGGGGGCGGATATCCGCCACCCCCCCTGAGGTTTTTCGCGAATAGCGGGAAAACCGCGGCGCGTAGCGCCGCGAAATTTGGTATGACTATAACCTCATCAATTTTACACATGGTGTGCAAGTTTGAACCTCCTACCTTTTAAGGTCAGGTCACCAGGTCACTTTGAATGACCCAACCTCAAGTCACTTTTTTGCAACTTTGTCACCGTGCCAGAGCTATAGTAGATGTCGGAGGCCTTTGAAAGTCGCAGGATATTATTAGGTCATTAGTAGCTACAATTTGTATATCTCGGAATTTTGATATCGGTGACCTAAGGTCAGGTCAATTTCGCGACCTCCCCATTATAAGTCAATGGGGGAAAAATCAACTCCCTGTTTTTACCACTAAAACGGGTCGGAATGGCCCCATATACCATACATGACTTCATATACGATCAACCTTCACTACCTTGAGGTCTGTTTTGCTGTTGGGCAGCTGTGAGGTCATGTGACGTCATCAAAGATCACCAAAGGTGTTTGGCCAATAACTCCGTACAGGAACAAGATACAGACGCGTGGATGGTCTCATTGTGTTCAGCTCGTCAAGACGCATCGAATGATATACATGATGACCTCGAGGTCACGTGACCTGAGGTCAACCTTTGACCTTGACCTTTCGAGGTCAACATATATATCATTCGATGCGGATTGACGAGAGGATCACGATGATGCCCTTAGTTTGTTCCTATCTTGACTAATTCGAAAGTTATTCGAGAAAAACTCTCCATATCTAGCGCCGCCATTTTGACTTTTCGACCCCTGTGACGTCATCTTTGACCTGACCTGAAAATGACCTTAGTAAAAATTGTAGATCTTGGCCGTGCGTATCCGATGCCGTTTACCGCTTGTCGCTATCTTGCTTCGTTCTCGAGATCTCAGGGGGGGCGGTCATCCGCCCCCCCCCCCCCGTCGGTGCGAAGTTGGCGCAGACCCCCGTCGGTGCGCGGGTTAAAGCAAGCGCAAGAATAAAAGCGTGAGCAAATATGAAGCAACGGCATTGCCAAAAAAGCCACGCAGGAAAGACGGATTATTGTTATCCAGAGGTCATGCCATGTTTATTGCAAAATGTGATTATTATATCTGCAAATTTGCCGACTTTGTGATCTACCAAAGGACTTCAATTTTGTGCATTAACCTTAAACAGCTCAGCTATATTTATTGCCAGATATGATCTTTTTCTTTATATTTGAAAACCTGCCTAAACCTTACTTTCAGTGGCGTGACAAGTCTGACCTGTCTGACCTGTCTGACCTGTCTGATATGAGCTGACCTGACTGACCTGCCCTGTCTTCACCTATCTGAGCTGCCCTGTTTGACCTGACCTGATCTGACCTGACCTGTCTTCCCCGGTTTCAACAGCGGTGTGCCACCAGCGGCCTCTCCGGGGCGGCGTCAGTCCTGTCTGTACTGTCTGTCCGTCTGACCTGACCTGACCTGACCTGACCTGCTCCGTTTCCAACAGCGGAGCACCACCAGCGGCATATCCGGGGCGGCGTCAGTACACGGTCACGATGCGCTGCAGCCGGACGCTGGGAGTGGTGGACCGGGTGCTGAGCGCCCAGTTCCGCCGGCTGGGGGCGCACATCGGACGACGGCCCAGCTACTTCATCATCTTCCCCGTCATGATCACCCTGCTGGCTGCCACCGGAGTGCAGCAGCTGCGCTACCAGGACGACCCCGAGTACCTCTTCTCGCCGTCCACGGGACGCTCCAAGCAGGAGCGAGCCACTGTCGACCGACTGTACCCGACCAACTTCTCACAGTTCAACACGGGCAGGATGGTCGACATGGGGCACTTCATTCGGCTGGTGGTGACGGCACCGGCCGGCGGCGGACCCCTGCTCACAGAGAGGGTGTTCGATCAACTATACGAACTGGACGAGGCCGTCAGAAAGGTGCGCGTGGACGCGGGTGAGGAGAGCTGGACGTACGACCAGATCTGCGCCACTTGGGGCGACGACTGCCTCGACAACGTCGCGCTCAAGATGCGCAAATACATCAAGGATGTGGAGGCGAACAAGAGTACCGTCACGTATCCGGTTTGGTTCGAGGCAGATGACGTGCTGCCTGTGATCGAGACGTTCGGCTCGCCTGAGCTAGACGGAGATCGTGTGGTCGACGTGCCGGCGCTGCAGATGCTCTACTGGGTCGGCAACCACGAGTACTTCAACGTCAGCCTGTGAGTACACGGATCCTCATTTTCAGTGCCCTTCAAGTATGTGTGTCTTATGCAAAAGCAAGTTGTAATTCATGACCTGGATCGACAGGTCTATGTATGACAATGCATGCAATACTTTTCAGAAGCATTGCGCATTGTTGTGTGAGGGAGTCGGACAAATCTGCGTTTAAATCTTTCAAGGCTTGACATGCCATGCGTAGACATTTTAAACCAATTACCCCCCCCCCCCCCTCCCTCCCCCACTTAAGCCATTCTTTATCCTCTAAACAAGTCGCTGAGCAGCTCTCAGACCAGCATCGCATCCTGCCAGTACCTGACACAAAACTCCTAGCTCCGGTTGAATTTTTATCGTCCATTATAGCATTATGAACGCCGACGGAGTTTCCTTGCGTTTCTAGAACTTCCCTTAGCCCGCTAATTAGGTGAACCAGCCTTTGTAGGCCGCGTCTATGCTAATTGTCACCATAGCGGCCCTCATACATCAAAAGAAGGACAAGTGAAAGCGAATGATATTTGTGCATTCAGTAGAATGTTTATTGCACAAATGAATTTCTAAATCTTAGAATTTTTCTCATTTTTCTGACACGGTTACTCCCCTCTCAGGTCTCTAAAGTGGGAGCTGGCAGTTCAGGAGCGACTGGCCCAGATCATCCCGACGTTCGAGCACCTCAACATCTCTCGGTTCGGCTCGGAGACGCTGAAGCGCGAGCTGGACGTGAACACGAGGTCGGTGATCCCGTACATGGCGGCCACGGTGGTGGTGATGCTGCTGTTCTCGATGGTGTCTACCTCGATGGCCGACTGGGTGCGCTCCAAGCCGCTGCTCGGACTGGCCGGCGTGGTCAGCGCGCTGATGGCCTGCGGCACCGCCTTCGGCATCCTCATGTACTGCCAGCTCGAGTTCATCGGTATCAACCTGGCCGCGCCGTTCCTCATGCTCGGTGAGTACTCTATCAACATCATCACTCCACTACTCGCTCATTTATACTTCAGGCCGCACTCGCCTTGCTAAATGCACATTCACATCCATGAGAAAACGATAAAGTGAATACTTTGCAAGGGTCAATTTTTCCGGTACACTCCCGGTGCGATATAAGCAGCCTCTGTATTCATTGATATTGTGCGGACACATTATTTGTGTCGAGACAATTTGCAAGTTTTCCTTCTGCTTTCTTGGAACCATGTCATTTTTCTAAGACCTTCTCAGTTATAATGAACCTCGGTCACACATACCTATTCCCTCCGAAAAAAACTGGCGAAAGGCAGCATCGTCTTTACTTTTATTTTTAGCACGGAATGCTACCATGGCAACGCCAGGTGATCTTGCCAATGAACCAAAGAGTCGGAACGACGGCAGGACTGACAACTTTAATGTGAAACATATAAGATAGCGATAAATTCACAGTTCACACACAAATATGCGTTTGCTTGTAGTAATAGTAAGGACGAAAAGTTGCTGACTCACGCAACCGCTGACGTAATTGCACGGCGACTAATATGACGTCATAAGCATCTATCGCACAGCTGTCAGGCAGCCGGATTACGAACAACCTCAGCGAGTTACTACACTGCGCCTGTTGGGCCTACCATCTGTCATTGAGACCCAATGACGCAAGGCTGAAACAGACCGGTTACCCGTGGATTAGGAACAATTTTATAGATACCTGGCAAAGTGTGTCATGAAGCCATGCTCATAAGAAACACGTTCGTAGCACCCTTGGTTTTTGCTGCTTAGGTCTTTAGAACATTGCACAAACGTACAAATTCTGTGCGCTGCAGCACGATCCATCCATCTCAACATATCGTGCAAAAACACTGTCATATAAAATTGCCCAACAACTCAACCGTGCACTTATATAACGGCTTTTGCGGTCAGCATAGCGTGACCTCAGTGGGTCGTGGGTAGCATTGCGCTGGGGGTGGCGCCGGGCTGCGGCAGCTCTCGGGATAGCCTCCCCGATCGCTGTCAGAGGCAGAGCTGATGCTATCGGCCCGGCGCGGTGTACCCAGCGTGGAGAGCTGGACCGGTGACAAGGTCGTCTGGCGACCCGCAGCCCGGTGCAGCAACCTGTTCTGGTCGTCACCGCCGCGCCAAAATGTGTCACCGGCCGGGGAACCCAGGGTGCGGTGGTGTAAGGACAGGATATAGGACAGGATAAACCCAGCGGCGAGCTCCACTGCAGTCGCCAACGGCAGTCGGGCCATTGGAGTATCGGAGGGAACGCATTACGCTTATGTGTATGTGGGTGAAAAATGCGGGGATTTACAACTAGCCGGTGTTTCGAGTAGCGGTTGTGCAACGTTCAATGCTCATGCAGTGCTGTTTTGTGAGGCAATGGCGAAGAAACTTGCTTAAGAACATCAATCATTGCACATCGCGGTGTGCAATGTCATGACCGAAAACCTGCCGTTGCATATGCCTGATTAAAGATTACGGGTTGATGTTTTTGGAGCATGCTGTTTGGAATTTTGCTCTAGAAAGATATCACTGTTGACAGAAATTTTGCTATTGGTTGTGTTTCTCACGTTCATTCTTTTAAGCATTTATTATGTAGATTGTGAGTTTTAGTTCTATCAGCCTGGAATTTATGAACAGACTTATTTTCTAGCCTTATCTCATCTTTTCCTGGTTGTGGAGAACGGGGAAGGCCAAATCCGATTGCTGATCCTGTGCTAAATACCCACGTCTCGTACTTATCTCTCTCCTATAGCGAGGTGTGTCTGTGGGAAGAAGGATTATACAGCCCTAGCAACAAAGCATTCCGACTTTCTTATCCTCATGACAAGACTTGGTTGCGAAAAAGGCTGGCTGAATAAGTAATGTGCACACATATTAATGTGCATGAAACGAATGGGTACAGCTATAAGCATATGCAGCAGAAAGCACATGAATGATGTGTTGGCAACTAAGAGAAACAAGGTGGTGAAGGCGATGCATGAATGAAACAATGAGGGTTGCCGAGTTCATTGTTTGATGCGCCAGCCGCATTGAAACCACCCCATACTTGAAGCTTTGGATGTTTTAGGCATAAGGGCCGACAGCCTTACGTCCTAATTCCCAAAGTGTACTTAAAACGATAATTTTAATAGTTCAAACAATTTTATCGTTATTTGTGCACGGCGCACGCTGAGCCATTGTGCCACTTATTGAACTGAATCGTTTTGTCAGTTGGAGCCGTGTTGGAACTACACACTGTGGTGAAGGTTCGAGTAACAAAGAAAGGTATGTTTTTTTAGCAAAACAGCTGTCCCTTGGTAGCTGAGAATGCTGCATAGCTCGCAACATCTTTGTCAAGGTCGTCTGGAACATTTCGCCATACCGAAACAATGAAAAGCATAACTTCCTTTTATCGGCGCTTGAACATCATCCGACCATCGCCGGCGGCATTCAAGCCACCTGACGGTCCCTCCCCCCCCCTCTCTCTCTCTCTCTCTCTCTCTCTCTCTCTCTCTCTCTCTCTCTCTCTCTCTCTCTCTCCCTCTCTGCAGGTATCGGTCTGGACGACACGTTTGTGATGCTGGCGGCGTGGCGTCGGACGCGCGTGCAGGACCCGGTGCCGGAGCGGATGGCGGTCACCTACGGTGACGCGGCCGTGTCCATCACCATTACATCACTGACGAACGTCATCTCGTTCCTGGTGGGCGCCATCAGCCCGTTCCCCAGCGTGCAGATCTTCTGTCTCTACACAGGTGAGCCCGCGAGAGTGTTCTCTTTTACACATGTGGATTGAATCATATAGAGTGGACAATCGGATGGCTGGGTCAGTGAGGTGACTGTCTTTTCCTGACCTGGCCGATGCCACCAATGCAGTGCCGGAGGGAGTTCACTTCGAGGAAATGGTAACTCTTCCACATAAATAACAGAGTAGCGAGCATGTTGCTTATTCAATTGATCAAACCTTATAATCATCGACAGAGTGCATTATTGCATTTGCATCGTCATGGTACGGTCAACGCTCTGCTGATATAGCTGCTGATTTCTGGGAAAGAGAACGGTGACCCTTTTTGTATTCAGATGCTCCATCGCATCTGGGGTAAAGCGAGGTGATGACCGGTCAGATGAGTACAGTCACTGAACTCGCGTCTCATGGTCAAAGCGGTGATTCGCTCTCGGTCCCTTTGCCCTTCGTACCCGGCACCTGTCCGCCGCCATCGGCCGCCGGTGCCTGAGGGCCAGTGCTGGTCATAAAGAGCTGTCAGCGGGCGGGCCGGCGGCGCGGGCGGGCCCGATGCACCCCGCCCCCGCCCTGGCGTGTACCCCCCCCCCCCCCAGCCCAGTACCGGCCGGCAGGGGGCGGGCTGCAAAACCACGCGCCGATCCGCGTCGACCTCCAGCTCTCAGCTCTGCGCGATAAAATCCGGTCGCGGATCTCCGGCACTAAAACTGAAGCCGTTCCTACCAAGGTTGAGTTCGTAGGCTTCTAACCCACAAATGTAATCGCCGGCGACACAAGGTTGGAATTTGTCATGTGCATTCAACGCAGATATGCATTGCGAGAGGAAATATGTTACATAATTGGGTTTTATTAAGCCCTGATTGCGCAAAACCATGACATTGCACCTACCAGCTACAGAAGATGCAGGGATAAAGCTGGCATTACCGATTTGTCAGATCATTACGAGAAGGTCTCCATGCTTCAAGAAAAGTAAAGCGTTACACAGATTACGCGCTCCTTCGCATAATTCCGCACCATATAGGTATACAGCACAGTTAATGCATCGGCACTTACTGAAACAAGTTACATCAACTTTAAGACGTTCCTGTTTCGATATGGTTGTCGATACGAGCTCATGCCACGTCCAGTAAGTAGTCGATAATCCATGTGGGAGGAGATTTCATCCCGCGAGAACACGCGATCTGACCTACGGTGCGCCGCTGACGCCCTTTTCTGTCGATTCCGTGACGAGGGAAGAGCTGGATTGCTGCCTCTCCGCCCATCACTCCCCTCATCCGGGATCATATTCGGCAGCAGCAATCAGAAAATTCCAGACGAGAAAATGGCTGCTAAAGATCGATGCGGATGTGCTTATCCACCTTCTGATCCGAAGCCCGGAGAGCTTCATGCAAATGAGCACGCTATACAGCAAAGAGGGGCGCGCCGCAGCCGTACTTGTGGTTATTCATTGGGTTATCTGGTTCTCTCTGTCGTGAATTCCCAGCCACTAGGTTGCCGTTCACAAGGAAGTGTTGTAACGCTGCTACTTGGCGATCATTATCCCTGTTGCAATGCGGTATTACACGTCTGGGAGTCACTGAAGCAGCGTTGAGGGCTCGAAGATGCAACCAGACGCAATCGACCGTTTCTGTACTCTGCTCCCTATCTCTCCCGGATTTAACACAGCACACACGCCACCACAGAGGCACATCAATTACGGCACGAAACGCGAATCACTGGCAACAGGACGTGCCTAGATAATCACTCGCAACGAGCCGGTTTTTACTGCAGAGGTGACTGATCAGCTCATGGTCACCCATCCGGCGAGGCTGACACAGCCCGCGGGGTGGGCGCGGAGCCGCCGGCGGAGGCTTCAATGCCCAGTCCGTGGTTGGTCATGCGTGTCGTTATGTGAATGTGACATGGCGCTCCCTTCCGGTGCATTTTGACCTCGTCGTGATGAGAAGCAGGTATCGACACCAACACGGTTTACGCCCATCTAACGAGCCCTAATACCAACAACACAGCAACAACGCAGCAGTCAGCACTTTGAGCTGTCACCATGATGCTTTTTTCGAGAGGATGATGATGCCTAGACAGAATCAATGTAAATATTCGGAAGTTCATACTTATCCGGCATGATGATCATCGAGCAGGAAACGAAATTTATCTAACGCACCATTTATGCTTTTATTGTATGACATTAGTGCCAGAATGCCGCACTGAATGAATTGAAATACCTACCGCTGGCTATGTAGAAGTGCATTGACCATTGACTCATCCCACGTTCTTTTGCAGGACTGTCCGTGGCCGTTACGTTCGCTTGGCACGTCCTGTTCTTCGGCGCGTGTCTGGCTCTGTCCGGGTACGCTGAACAGAGGAACCTGCACGCACTCACCCTGCGGCCGGTGCTGCCCGTCTCGCAGTCAGGTCAGTTTCCCTGCAGAGTGCACAGCCCTGCAACCACAGCTCAGCAGCCTAGGAGCCGTGATGTTCAGACTCGGCTGTTCAATTGAGGCGGGATGTTGGAAAGTTTCTGTTACACATTGACTGATGCCAAAAGATTTGGCTCTGATTTTTGCACAATGCATTGAAAGATGCATTCTTGAAATTCGTTAGTCTGGGATTGACATGGATCATTCTGACCTTCCACAATGGAGCAGTAACTTTCTATATTTAGGCGGTGTTCATCTTTTGAGAAAATAGGCTTAGGGTAGCGGTCTCTATCTCACTCTGCAAGATAACCGATGTTGCAATATGTACCGAAAAATAATGAATAATCGCTAGGATTGTGGTTTGCTGGCATCAGTCCACCAGGTGGGATTTTTATATCAAAGCCTTTAAGCCTCGAGTGTTCAGAAATGTCAGATAAACGTCCCGAAGTACAGTATAAGTCAGCGAGGGTACGCTGAGCATAGTGAATAATAATGCAACTAAATAAGGAAAATAGGTCACCTGAGTCACTTTCCTGCTCGACCGGTTAGTCACTTGCTTCAATCGGTCAGTTAATCGTCTCAACCGGTCAGAAAAGTGATGCATTGTGTGCACAGAGCATCGTGAAAACGCATACGCTGGAACGCAATGTCGCGAGATTCAAGGTTAACTTTCTCGTCAACTATAGTGAACACTAGCACTGAATCACTGATTCCAACGGGCGCGCCTGATCCGACCCGACCCCGCGGTGCAGAGCCGGTACTTATGCAACACTTCAGCTCTACAGTTTTACCCGGTCTCAGCAGATCCCGTCAACACGTCCAGGGGTTGCGCTGTGTGCCGACCTTCGTATGTCGCCGTCCTAGCCCTGACCCCGTTCCACCTCCGGCAGACTCCAAGTCGCCGGCGTACCGGCTCTTCTGCGCCGGAGGGATCTCGGAGAAGGAGCCGTGGAACGAACGAGACAACCAGGACCACGCGCTTATGACCTTCTTCCGAGACAGCCTGGGACGGGCGCTGAACAAACCCGCCGTCAAAGGTAGGCACTACGGACGGCTGACCCAGACAACCAGCTACTTTTCGTAGAGAAACAGGATACGCACTTTGTTGTCATGATGTATTTTTAGAATTTCAAGCTCAGACGTCATAACGGTGCGTGTTTCAACAAAAGCTTTGCAACGTGACGTACAGACTAAGCAAATCTGATAAAGTACAGATCAACATGCGTTTTCAGAATAGTTAGCGCAGCGGCTAAGACATAAACCGTTGCTTATTTACGGTCACAACTGTGTCAACCGCTGCTCATTTTAGGTATGAATCTATTTTAGTTTCTGTCGTTGTCATACATCATGGTATCCTCATTAGTCATTCCTCATATTCTTGCAATATCTCACATGGCAAACAAGTTGTAATGATGCACTTGTCAGTGGTCATTACGTGACACCATCGCCAGCTCCCTAACCACGCCATTCCTTGCCGCAGCCCTGGTGATCGTCGCCTTCCTCTGCTACCTCGGAGTGGCCATCTGGGGCTGCACCATGGTCCGCGAGGGACTCGACCGGCGCAAGCTCTCCCGTGACGACTCGTATGCCATCCATGCTTACGAGGTGGAGGACCGCTACTTCAGAATGCACCCATATCGCATCCAGGTACGTAAGCGAGCTTGTGAGTTGTGTGTGTGTCTTGTGTGATTTACTCTGCGTTGCAACAGCAGACTAGCCCGATCAATGAAATGTTGACTTGCATTACATTTACGTATCGTATGCAGCTTTCTGGCTACATGTCTTGCCGGCCTGGCTCATGTTCTTCCTGAAGTGCTAAACCGTTGTTACATTCCAAGTCCTAAGACATGAGAACTTCCACTCACCCTCACGGATGCATGAGCTGTCGTGCCCAGCGGTCCGTCCTCTGTCCTGCTTCCCTCGACAGACAGAGCAGGCCAACACGTTGCCTCCCATATTGTCCATATGACAACCCATCCGAGTGGCGGGCAAGCACGCAGGCCGCAACACGGAAAAACTGGCCCCGCCACTTCAGTGCCTCCCGGTTCGGCCTTCTGCCGCTTCCTGTGTACATAGGCTGTACAATACGGCGTCGAGAACCTTCCTATACATAGCTGGGATGACTTACGTATGCCGTTTTTCAAAATGTTGATGCGATCGTGGCAAAACTTCGTAGTTCAACGTCCGTCACGTCGGTGTTTATTATTTGCATCTTTTGTTTTATGGTTATGTCGTGTTCCCGTCATTGACCGTTTGTCTCTCGTCGCTCAGGTGGTCGTGGAGGGTGAGTACAACTACAGCGACCCCGTGCTGCAAGACCAGATGTCCACACTGGTGGACACGTTCAAGAACTCGACGTTTGTGGACGGCGAGACCGACCTGCTGACCGAGTTCTGGATGAAACGCTGGCTGTTCGACATGGATCTGTACGACACTATCGGCCTGGACGGCACTCAGAGCGTCGACAACCTGAAAAGTGTAAGTACCTGCCCTGCTTAAATCTACGGTTTTTTTTGGCAAAAAGCTCATGTTGCTTTTGTTATTGCCCAATGTCTATAGCTAATTTATAGCTGCTATTACTTTTATTTGATCAATACTTGATTACCATTTATTACTATTCACTACCATTTATTTATAAGACCATTATAAGACCATTATGAGAACGTAACCGTCGTTCTGTTGGCAAGGTGCAATTTCAATTACTCTTTTTTGTTACACTGATCTTCATCGTGAGGACAACTCCGTTTTGTACTTGTTACTAAACAGCTGGAATTCATTAGTTGTCATAGTCAATGCTTATATATCACAAAATAATTATCTCAGGATCACATGAGCGCTAATTAGTCCCGAATACCGATCGCTGTTTTTCCGAGGTCACAATTGACCCCACATCTTAATTAATGCTAAATAACATGAATCTGGTATTAACCTTCACCGAAAATTGCGGTCACACAAATCGTAAATCTTTTCGTTATACTTCCGCTCACGTAATCATAATAGCTGCTCAATGACAATTACATAACGGTCATGGGTTTTCACAGTGGCTCGAGGGAAGCCAGTACGAGCAGGACGTGATTTTCGACTCGGCTGGAGAGAAGATCGTATCGACTCGCTTCCTGATCCAGACACAAGACATCCGAGATACCCAGGAAGACATGCGCATGATGCTGGAACTAAGACGCATCTGCGACGAATCCGATTTCAAGTGCACCGTTTATCACCCGATGTTCACATTCTTCGATCAGGTAAATGACTTGAAGGCTACAAGAAACAGACTTTGAAGTCTGATGTAGGCATCATATGGTCAACTGGTGTTATGCTTACTAGGATCTCGCTTTTCCGGCTTCAGGAACTCAGCGGTAGTAAACCTAAGGCGCCCTTTGTTGAAAAAGCCTCTGATGTTCTCAAAGGAGATCAAGCGCCATGAGCTTGCGGTGGCAAAATCCGAGACCTTGAAAGTATAAGCCACACATTTTTTGCCCGATGAAGGTGATTGAGCAGCCGCGTAAAGTTGCTGATGTCAGGAAGGGTCCATGAGTACCTAGCATGCTCACGTAAGTGTTATTTCCACCAGAGGAGAATCTGATGCTCAGCATTCATGCATGCCAGCCTGAACACGGATGGAGCCATGAGCTCACTTAAAACGGATGGAGTGGTGGGGGATGCCCGCTCCATGGAGATGTTAAAGGATGCGTGTGTTACCAAGAATCACTGCATTCGAAAATTCCCACTCAAGCTTATAAGAAATTCGAGCAGTTTCATAATGTTTTTAAATCGACCGCCGGTTGGGCATAGTTATTGTTAAGCGCCCGATTTTCAAATCGGTGGACGATTTTGTCCTTCGTCGTTCTAAATTGTTATCTTGTTTCTTCAATGGCTGATTGATGCTGTAAGGTCAAGTTAACCCCAGGTCAAAGTATGATATAGAAACATTTATCTTATCCAAATTTATTTATCTTATCCATTTATCAAACCAATTATCCCCGTCGCCACTGTCATACTGCTACCATTTCACACGCCCTGTCAGCGTCTGTCGCACCACGTTCCGGTTCTTTGATTGATGTTTGACGGTCGCTCCCCCTCTGTCCGACAGTTTGCTGTAGTGCGCGAGGTCTCCATCCAGTCCATCTCCATCAGCGCAGTGGTGATGATGATCGTCTCCCTCATCTTCATCCCGAGTCCCACGTGCTCACTCTGGGTGGCCTTCAGCATCATCAGCATCGAGACCGGCGTCGTCGGCTACATGACGCTGTGGAACGTCAACCTCGACTGCATCTCCATGATCAACCTCATCATGTGCATCGGCTTCTCGGTGGATTTCTCCGCCCATATCAGCTACGCGTACCTGTCTGGTCGAGGACTGTCTGCCGACGATAGGCTCCGGGAGGCACTTCACTCCCTGGGCCTGCCGATCCTGCAGGGAGGCGTCTCCACCATCCTTGCGGTAGGAACCCTGGCACTGGCACCCTCCTACATCTTTATCACCTTCTTCAAGACCAACTTCCTGGTGATCGCGTTCGGTATGTTGCACGGCATGCTGCTCCTGCCGGTGCTGCTGTCTTTGCTGGGTCCAGGATCGCACTGCTGCTCCGGACGCGGCAAAGGCGAGGACCCTGAGGAACCCCGAGTAGAGTCGATCGCCTGCCCCGAGCAGAAGATCATCTTGGCCTCGGAGACGCCACTGCGGATCCCTCGGCCGCAGACCACGCTGCCGAAGACCAAGGCCGGGTCGGACCGCGATAGTCTGGAGAGCAGCCGCGACCTCGGTCTGGGCACCTCCGCTGAAGAGGAGAGCAGCAGCAGCCGCGAGAGCAGCGTCGGCGTCGCCAGCGACGAGGGCCCGTCGCCGGCGACCAGTCGCTCGCGGCCGGCCCGCTCTCGCTCGCTGTGCGCGCGTGCAGAGCGTTACGCCAACGCTGGCTACGTGACTGATGATGAGCTCAACAGTCCGATACCGGCAGCGAGACAGCGGGTCCGGCACCGCTCCGAGCGGGGTCGGCCCTCCAGCCGGAGCAGCAGCGGCATTGCCAGCAGCCAGTCCAGCACCCAGTCCAGCAGCGTCAACAGCAGTCAGCCGGGCAGTCCGGCCAGGTAGCCTGACCAGACAGACGGCCGACCGTCTCGGAGGCGAGTTATTCACACCCGGCGGTATGAGCTGGGCGTTACTGTTGCCTGATGATGTCGATGTGGAATGTGGATGTTGATAATGTGCTCGTAGAGAAGCATCAATGTCGCAAGTCTTCTTGCAGCGATCAATTCTTGAGCATGGAGCATAATAGTTTTGCAGTGCCTCGATCAGCTGTGATTAAAGAAAGCTAAAAATGTATAAAAAAAAAAAAGTGGCGGTTGGCGATTGTTTGACAGGGATTATATGTGTCATGAAGCAGTTGCGTTGCTGCATGATGAGGAATTTAAAAGCAAAACTGTCTTATCTTGCGTTATGTGGGATACCTAACGCTGAATAATTATAGACTGTGATTAGAACGTGTAACTCATATGTATGAATCTGCGTGCTTCACCCGCGCGGGAGGCCTGTCCAGGCCATTGGATCACGCTGTTATTTGAATGTACAAACTGCCACGGCCCATAATAATGGCCGACTTGATAAACACTGCAGTCGCATGTTTTTATATAAATAAACGGTACGAGAACCACATCGTTTTATATGTCGCTCCTATTGCACGTTTAGTTCCTGCCCTTTTTCATTTCGATTGCGCAGGAACGCTTATGCTTACCTTAACACGGACTATCAGGGTATTATAAATTTGGTTCACTGCTGCCGATTGGTGGGTTCGAGTTCCACAAAAATATCGAACGGGAAGCATCAAACAGACGAGCAATTGCTAGTATTTACAAACTAATGGGAACCTACATTAATCGGAATGGAAAATGACATTGATTGGATTTTATTTACTTCGGGATGTTATATAACGAATAAGTTGGATAACTTCACCGCTAAGCATACAGTAATTTTCCATTCCATTCTTATGTAAGAGCGGTAAATCTCACTTTAGATAAACTCATAGGACTCTAAATGCCGCATGTTTTATTCTGCATCACCGGACAAGTGCAAAAAATGTCAGTGTAAGATATTTATCCCTAAGTCTAAGGAAAATCGTCTCTCATGTAGGTTTGGAAGGCTCAACAGAACAGTGCTAAGACAGACATTTGCGACTCATCATGATGGCTACCAGCATGGCTCAGCCGTTGCCGTCCCTCATGTCCCGAGGTCAGTAGTATTGCCCATCAGGTAATCCACTCATGAGCCTACGAAAAAAAAAAACACAAACAGGACTCATATCGACATCATGCCTAGCACTACAGATAGGCCCGGGCAGCGCTTATCGAACAGCACTGCGGATCCGAAGGTTGGGACTTTAATTGTGAAAAACCGCCCGCCCGCCGCAAAACGCAAACACCGCAAAACGCGCAAAACGCACGCCCAAAACGCCAACGCAAATGTCGCAAAAAAAACCAAAAAAATCGCCCGCCCGCCGAAAACCGCAGAAAAAAACGCACAAAATGCCGCAAAAAACGCGCGTCCGCCGCAGAACGCAAACACCGCCGCCGCAAAAAAACGCCCGCATCGCCTGCCGCCAACCGCGAAACGCCGCAAAAAACGGCCGCACGCCGCGAACCGCAAAACGCCGCAAAAAACGGCCGCCCGCCGCAAACCGCCAAACGCCACAAAAAAAAACGACCGCCCGCCGCCCGCCGCTAACCGCAAATAACGAACGCCGTAAAAAAACGGCCGCCCGCCGCAAACCACAAAACGGCCGCCCGCCGCAAACCGCAAAATGCCGCAAAAAAAACGGCCGCCCGCCTCAAACCGCCGCTAAAACGGCCGCCCGCCGCCAAACGCAAACAGCAAAAATACCCGCATCGCCCGCCCGCCCGCCGTCAAACACAAAAACCGCAAAAAACGCAAACACCGCCGCAAAAAACGCCCGCAACGCACGCACGCCCGCCGCCAACCGCAAAACGCCGCAAAAAAACGGCCGCCCGCCGCCAAACGCAAACACCGCCAAAAACGCAAAAACGGCCGCCCGCCGTCAAATGCAAACACCGAAAAAACGCAAACACCGCCGCAAAAAAAAACGCCCGCCGTAGGCAAAACGCAAACACTGACGCATTAAGACAAATATGGCGCCTTGCGGCAAGTGTGGTGCATTCATATCTGCCGTTTAAGCAGCAATCCCTCAATCAAAGCGCACCCTAATCGTCCCATGTTCGACAAAGTTACGCACATTCTGCGATTTGCGGCAAAAATGGCGCTTTGAGACAAACGTGGCGCACTGCAACAAACATGGCGCATTCGTTCATGTCGGTTAACAATTCATCCACCCACCAAATTTTAGCCCAATCGGACTTAAACTTACAAAGTTATGTACATTTGAATATTTCACTATAAAATATCTCCGCAGCGGAGGTGCCCAGATTTGCACGTGTGCCACGTGACCACCGGTCGTGCAAGCAGGGCTTGTCCCCTCACCGATTGTTCCATTTCAGGCTTCCTGACTGCTGCTGTTTTCGTGCTATAAGGCCACAAGTTGGCTTATACACGATAATCTGGGAGGTACTCGACTCAAACACGTGGCCACGTGGCACGTGCCGGACCTGTGACAGCTTCACCGTTCACGCCACGTAATGACCCATCGACGTAGCCATCAGCATGTAAAAGATTATCCCGGCCGGTGTCACCGTTGATGAACAGTGGACGGCTAAACTCGAAAAACGAGAAAATTTAGGGAAATTTCACCTTTCTAATATATAATTTCCCTAGAATTTTTAATTTCTCATTTTACAAAAAATCCGAGATAGCAGTTTTCTAGCACCGTTCATTCTGTGTCTATACCCGTATTCAGATCGACTCTATCATAAAAACTGACGGCCTGACGGCTATTTCCCCCATTCCTTGCATTTCACAATGTTGGTGTATTTAAGAACAAAAATTGACCCCGTGCCACGGCACGTGCAATAGCACGTGCGCCACGTGACCACTGGTGCGACAAGCTGGACTCATCTGCTCACCGGCTGCACTGATTTGGTGTCGCTAGGTGGAGTGGTTTCGGAGCCATAGGACCCCCAGTTGGCCAATGTCGGATTTTCCCGGAGGTTACCCCATCAAACACGTTTGCACGTGGCACGTGCTTTTCAATCGCCCCATATCTGACCCATACCATGTGGTAGCCGACACCCCGGGGCAGAACATATTGGAACTTTTTCAAAATCTAACGTGGAATTTTTTTGCAAAATCGATTTGAAAATAATTTTTTGAAATCGCCATAGGCTCAGCATGGGGTAACTGTCCTTAACGATTACCCAAAATTTTGTTAATTATATTTTAAATAATTACCATCATGAGGTGGGGTCCCGGCCCGAGATTCGACCCTAAAAATATAATTCATTTCTAACGTGGAGTTTTTGCGCAAATCGCATTTTAAATTTTTCCCCATGTTAACCCTATGGGAAAATGCACGTGCCGATTACCCCAAAACGGGTTAATTATATTTCAAGCGACCGATGCCAGCTGGTAGCTCCCCGATACGGGACCAAACGCTGAAAATGGCAAGAAAATCTATCGAGCCGTTTTCGCGGGGATCAAAATGACCAAAATCGCGGCAGAAACGCTAAACACCCCCCTAGAGAGGTAGCTCAGGTTGGGATTTTCAATAGAAAATCACAATTCTAAAGAATAGTGATTGTCTAATTGAAAAGTCCCAACCTTCGGATACAAATCAACACAGACTGGAATACGTGCTGAACGAGCACGAATAAGGGAATGCACAACACGCTGTCACACCTTAGCCATGGCAGCTTTCAACTCATGCATGCCACTGAATCGAAAGACTAGATTTGTCGACAAGGAGCCGTCTCATTTGCGGGTAGGTAGAAACAGTGTGTGTAGCACCCTATCGGCGCATTCGATGCCAAATTAACACAACCAACATGAGCTGAATGTGGACGCTTGAGTGCCACATTGCTACTTATTTCTAGTGGGGATGGATTAGGAAATCCAGACGCTTGAGCGTCACCTGTGTAGCGTACAAATGCATCGTAACGCAAAAAAGCAGCCCCACGTTGAGCCTATCAAAAGTCACCTCACTTCACACACGTCCCATCACATTCACACATTGTCAACAAAAGCACTTTCAATCTCAGCGCAGTTTAGAGTCATTATACAATGCGGCGTAACGACGAGCATGGTGTTCCATCACGTAGCACTTCACTGGCCCTCGCGCACCAACAGAACCCTAGCTGGATGCCCCTCACCGAACACAATTTATCGTGAATCATAATGACGTCGTCTACATCACCGTGATCACCACGGTCAGTGATGCTTCCCGGCGGGGTTTTCCCCGAGTCTCCCCTCTGATGGCCGTCTGGGATCCACGGCCGCCAGGGTCGCGGTGGGACCTCCACCAGGTCTGAAGGTCGGCTGCGCCAGCTCAGCTCGGCTCACAGCTCCGGCCAGCGCAGCTGCGCCATCCGTGAGCGCTCCGCCGTAACTCTGCAGGCGGTCCCTGATCACCTTGGATCGGGGTAGTCCGTGACGAGCCCCTCCCAGCCGCCTGCGGGCACCGGTGCCGTGAGCTGCCAGATTGCTATTTAAAGCACCGCTTTAACGAGTTGCTCTCTCACACGTATACGAGCGGTCGGCGTTTTTGCTCAAGGCGACGCGTCATATTCTAGGACAAAGTTAGCGTGGGAGATGTTAACTGCGTGCATAATAAACTTCATGATCACCAATCAACAATCGTTAAAGGCGAAATAATGGAAAGGTGTGGCATAATTCCCCATCCAAGTTCGCAGCATTTTTAGCCCAAAGCACATCTCCGAGGGATGCTAGCGCGTAAGCACGAGTTTATTAATAGAAACCTGTGTATTGCGGCTGTACTGAGGGGAAACACCTCAGCCAGAATGGTGCATTCGTAGTTTTTGCAGGCGCGGCAAACGATTACGCAGAAATTATGAATTGACCTTTGTGCATGATACTATTTTAACCTTTAACCCTCGCCCTGGCAGGGCATTTTTCATAACACGGCCTGGCAGGGGGGGGGGGTCGATGCGACCCCCCCCCCTCGCGATTGGCTCCTATGGAACCTAGAAACACTAAATTTGGTAGGTAGGTGGGCCCCCTGGAGTTCTCGCCCCTGTGCAAATTTGGTTGCTCTAGGTCAATATTCAGGGGGGTTTTGGGGGGTATGAATGTAAAAATTTCGCTAAAAACAGGTCAAAAGTTTTTCGCTTATAACTTTTGATCTAATTAAGATAGAGCAAAAAGAAAAACACCAGTGAACTTAGCACGTCAAGGCGCGTCGAATGTTATACTTTTTAGCTTGCTTAAGTGTACTTAAAGTTTTTCTTAAATTTTAAGTAAACTTAAATTAATAAATTAAGTTCAAGTTAACCAAATTGCATCATATTGCATATCATTCGATTCGGCTGATCACCAGGAACACAATGATACCATTTTTAAGCTCTAGCGTCATTATGTGCCAAGTTATTGGCAAAAACGTCATTTGACCTCAGTTGACCTCATTTGACCTGACCCATGGATAAGCACACCAAACAAAGAAGCACCAAGTGACCTGCTGTTAAGTACTGTGGTTTCCAAGCACAAAAGTGATAGAACGAAGCGGATATCTCCAGT